GCCTCTGGTGACATTTTTTCTTACAACTTGGTAATAAAACTTTTGGGCTTTTCCTTCTTTGCATGCCATGCTCCCAGTTCAACATCCAGCCATTCTTTAAAATTGACTTCATATGGATCCTTGGAAGCAGTAATAATATTCTTCTGTTGAATGGCAAATGTACCATTTTGAAACAATGAGACTTCCCACTACCTCACACAAATATGAGCCATGTTGAGTGTCACCCAAGTCTGTTGTCAGACAATCTGGTTGAGTTGAGCCAGAGGGAAGACTGAGTTCCCTATGTCCTCTGAGTGCCACAGCAAGGAATGAATGACTGAGGAATCATCTCCAGGCCATTCTCCCTCTCATTGAGTCTGTTCTGCCAACTGGTGATGCTCAGACAGCAGCGCAGAGCCAGGCATGCTCATGTTCACCAAGGTGGCCAGTCACAGCACAGTTTGTTTATTGACCCCCATGCATCAACTCCCTTTGTATGAAAACCCACAAAGGCTGGTGATCCTTTGGCCTGGCTGGCCAGCAACTCAGATGTGTCATACTCACAGCCCCATGCCAGAGTGTTCTATGTCATACAACCCCTGCCCCACCATCCCAAAAGATGAGAGAAATATGGAAAAAATAAATGGTGTACAAGAGAGTCCTGGCAGCTATTTTAACCATGAAACAGCTAGTTCTGCAAAAGTGGCCACGTAGTGGCAGAGGAGAAAACTGTGGCATGGACAAATGGCCCAGCACGCTCTGTAATTCCTCTCATCTACATGGAGGGGGACCCTCCAAAGTTCAGGAACTGTCCTGTTGACTGAGAAGAAAATATGCAATATAAAATAAGAACCCATAATGTGTTCCAGACAGTTTCAATAAGAACTTGCTGCTGCTTTTTAGAGGAGAATGTTTCAGGCAGTGTAGTTTTCATATATTCTGTACAAATCCTGCCATTAAATACAATAAAATTCAATTACATCAACTCATTAGAAAATGTTATCAGAGAGGATTATGTTGCCACAACACCCTGAATTAGTACTTTTCTTTTAGAGACTCAAAGCCATATCTCTATTTTCCTTTTTCATGCTATTGTGATTCATTATTCTTAAGAGTGAAATTGGGACAGAAGTCACACATGGCCTGTGTGGAATCTCTCCTACCCACACATCAAAATATCCTCTTTCCTTCTGTTACATGATGCCAGCATCCCATTAAGAGCAATTTCCCTACTAGATGGTATAGATTCATGCTTTCATGCTGGAGTGTAGATGGAAAGAAAAAAGAAAAGCCCAGTTGGGTTTGGGGTGTTTTTCAGGCTTCTAGTAGATTTTTATATGGGGGGTAAATAAGTCTCTTTATGATGCTAATCTCCCAGAGAAAGGAAAGATAATACAAAAGGAAAGAATAAAATTTCTTAAAATTTCTGTCAGTTTTTTCTGTTCTAGACACTCATGATTTAGATGTAAAAAGGTCTATGAATTTCAGGGTGGAAAAATTGAGTTTTAGGAGGGAGTGATGTGCTAGGAAAGGTTCACAGAAAAGAGGGAATTGTTCAGTCAGCCTCCCAGGGAGTCTGAGGGGCTATGGTGCATTGTACAAATTGTTCTACAGCCAGGAGGGTGCAGGAATCACCATATTAACAGGTATAGTCCTTCAGAATGTCTTTTTCCAGAAAGCCTAGAAGATGAAGAGACAAAAATCCAAGCAAACTGGTTTTCCCCAGAATTCTCAAAGCTTAAAAGGGCGAGGTTCCCACTGCATGTGATAAGAACTTACCCATTAGCTGTATATGGTGAATTCTGGTTCATCACTCTAGGTGCAAACTCAGAGCCAATCAGATTATTCCTGGGAACACACCTCACCATAAATCCCTAAACCCACAGGAATATGGATTTCAGGACAGGGAGGAGCTCGAGCAGTCTGCCTAAGATCAATAGAAAATTCTTAAGGGTTTATAGCAATTTCAATTCCATCATCTATTTTGATCTTCCAAATAGTAAAGGAAAACAGGAACCTGATTAGGCCACCAACTCCAGGCTTCTGGAGGAGAAAAGGCTGGACAGTGACTCACAGATAGAAAGCATAAGGCTGATAGCCAGGAGGACCCGGGTCTCTACAGAAGAATTCAGGGTCAAGTTCTTCACCACTTTCCTTCATCAGTTTTGAATTCTGTATCTTTCTTTCAGCCATATGGGCTGCCCTTTGCAGAAATGTGCCTGCACAGTGTCCCTTCTGTGACAAGCTATGATTCAGTGAGGCCAGTTTTGTGCTGGGGAAGGAGGTGAGGCCAGAGATGAATCCAGTGGAAAAGCCACCTTTGCATCTCCTGGAATTAGAGGGGTCAAGTGTCTTCTTTGCAGTTGGCAAAGAATCATGCACTCTCCTACTTTGACCTTTGTTTGAAAACAGGGACTTAAAGATGCTGCCTTCGGTAAAGACAAGGACTCTGGGGCCTGCAGCTGTACAATGAGTAACTAAAAGCAAGATAAAGCTTGGCATTCTGCCTTCATTCCATATCCTTTTCTAAATATTTGTGACTGCTCAGCTCTGCACATAAACATGTTAATAATTTAAGGAGTGCTCAGTTAAAAACTAGCAATAGATTACAAATTTATCTAATCTATCTTATCCCCCTTGAAGATTGAGGCAAGACTGAAGGGGCATTCAACTCTCCGCTTTTTAAAAAATATTCTTTTTAGTTGTAGATGAACAAAACACCTTTGTTTAATTTATTTATTTTTATGCAGTGCTGAGGGTCAGACCCAGTGCCTCACACATGCCAGTCAAGTGATCTACCACTGAGCCACAACCCCAGCCCCTCAACTGTCAGCTTTAACAGTATATTGTTTCAGAACCCCAGGGTGGTTCCCAGAAGTCTTCAGTCATTGTTCATTTCCTTCCAGGAAAGTCAGAGACTTTTAGACAGATAAACAAAAGGAGTTTATTCCCTTAACAGGAGCAATCATCTCATGGGACCACACTGCCTCTTTTAGGATTCCAGGTCTGGTAGATAAACATCCTGAACAATAAATAAAATTTATTCCTTTCAAGTGATAAGGACTTCTCAGAAGCCACCTAACAGTGCTAGAAGTGAGATAGTTTGGACAAGACTGCTTAACAATGCATACCTCTTCCCCACTGTCCCGATTCTGTTTCTATTTAAACCTTCGGGTCATGCCAGCACCTGAAAGACATGACTTAAAACATGGATCCCCTTGTCTTTCTGGTGTAGCTAAATTGACTAAAGTTCTTTTCTTGATTTTTGCGATTACTCTTTGGATTTTGGGGGATGTGGTGAGTGGCTAGACCTGGATTTTGTATCTGGCATGGGACTCCTGTAATTCTTTCAATTTTTATTTTGTGGAAAATTAAGAAATCACTGTGTAATCAATAGTGCCAAAGGTTATGTGATATTATGAGAAACTCAAGTGAAGCCACTGGCATTAATCTCCTGTTGCTGTATTTTTGTTTTTGTTGTTGTTATAGGTGGACACAATATCATTATTTTATTTTTCTGTGATGCTGAGGATCAAACCCAGAGTCTCATGTATGGTAGGTGAGCATTCTATCTCTGAGCACAACCCCAGTCCCATACCTGTGTATTTACAAAACATGAGAACTTTGTCAACACAAGCTCCATCCATATATCTTTGCCCACACAGGTTCCTCTGCCTAGAATATTTTTGTGCCTCATAAAAGACTCCTGCTGAGCCTCCAAAATCCAGCTCTTATAGCACCTATTTTGGTAGAGTCTTTCCTTACTAATCTCAAAGAGTAGGACAACTTATTCTTTGTCTGTAATCCTCAAGACTCTATATGCTGAGGTAGGAGGATCATGAGTTCAAAACTAGTGTCAAAACTCAATGATACCATGAGCATCATAGCTAAAACCTGTATCAATAAATATATATCATATATCATATAACATATAATATATAATATATATGTGGAATGTAGTAGAAAGAATTGGTCATTACCCTATGTGTATATATAGTTACATGACTGGTGTATGTCTACATCATGTACAACCAGAAGGATAAGAAGTTGTACTCCATTTTTGTATAATGTGACAAAATGTGTTCTTCTGTCATGTATAAATAATTAGAACAAACAGTAAAGTGTTGGGGATGTGGCTCAGTGGTTAAAAACCTCTGGATTCAATCCCTGGTAGCAAAACAAATAAATAATTAAATAAATGAATAAAGGCTGCACCATTAGGAGTTGAAGATGGACTACAAATATGTTTCTTGCTTTCCAGAATCAATAAGGGAGATAGGGTGGGAATATGAAATCTAAACTAGAGATACAGTAATAACTACCTCAGTAGAGTGTTACAAATTATGTGCTTCAAAAATTGCAGAAGGACACTATGAATATACTTTTCCAACAATGCAAAAAATCACAGTGGGTTAACTGTATCTATCTTACTATTTAATTTGAATTTCTGAAAAAGCTCCATGTATTCAGTGATTGTGATGATCAAAAGATTGAGCTTTGACTTTCACTGATTCAGTACTATATATCCCCTTAAATGGGCATAGAGGCTTCAGATAAATTTTATAAGGATATGTTTATTGACTTTCTCATTATAAAACTTATCACAGCATATTTCAAAGAACGCATCATATATCAATGTCACTACAAAAGCCACCACAACCACCCTCATTTTCCTTAAAAATTGTTGACAAATTTGGTGATAATTATTGATTCTCTGATCAGAGCTCAAGAGGAGCTGCCAGGACTAACTGGCAGTGAGAGGAGAGAGACCATTAGACCCAGAAAGGGTGAGTCTTTACATCTGGCACTGAGGTGGGCACCTCCTTTCCATCACAAAATAGATAATACTCTGCAAAGACCTTGAGCAAGCTCAGCAAAGGTCCAGCATCTCTTATCATTCATCAATTGAGGAATATAGAGTCAATCTTCATTTTGAGTTTTCTTCACAAAATACATTTTTGTTCTCTGATGTTATGGGTCCCAGGCTCTGAGGATAACAATGCACAAATCCTTAGGGAAGTTCAGGCTCCCCTTATTGTTACATCTCTACACACAGCCTTCAGAATAATGGGCTTTTGAGGTTGAAGAAGTCCTTGTTTGGCTAATTTCAGGGGAATCTGTAACATATAGACAAGCATTTGGAGAAGCAATGAATGAAACACCAGGAACCAAAACAGCAAAGTAGAGAAGATACATTATGCCCAGAAATGCTCCACAAACATAAAACTACTTTTAGTATCATGTACTTTGAATTCATCCTACTCATTCTCTAAGGTGTGTCATGATTGGATAGTAAAATTATTCATTTATCTGAAAAATTATTTCATAAACATTTATCCTGTACAAGGCCTGAGACAGGGAGGTTCTATAGGTTCCGGTGAGGAGATCTTCTCTCAAACATCAGAACCCTGTGGTCACCACACCTCACGACTGTGCACAGGGTCTCTCCAGGAGACTTGGAGATGAATTTACACTGTGCTCAAGTTCACTGTCCACACACTTTGGTCTTCATAAAGCCATAGACTTAGAGCCCCCATGGTGATGAACTCTAAAAATCTCAAAGATGGTGCAAAAGTGACTCACTGGACTATAAATCTAATAATTTAATGATGAATAAGCATATATTTTTCTGTGACTAGGCCCCTCTGTTTGGAAAAACATCTTGAAATAAAACATTATTTATATGAAAATCTACTGACCTGGGTTTCCTTACAAGTTTGGAAGGAGAAGTTCTGCATTACTTTGACAAGAGCAACTTTCATGTTCATGAGAGCAAACCTCATGCCAATGCAGTTTCGAGGGCCATTTCCAAAGGGCATGTATATGTACGGATCAATGCTGTCCTTGTTTTTCTTACTGAACCTGGTTCCACAATAGATGACAAGTCAACAAAACATTAAAACCACAACAGTTACTTGTTTCAGTTGTGCCTTAGACACCCACAAGCAGTGGTGTAAAAGATGATTTCTGGGCTGGTCATTGAAATCCAGCTGTGGTTTTGCTATGAGAGTTGTTAAGCTATGGAGTTTTTCCACCTTTCTCCCCCTTAGCCTATAGGAGTTTCTCCACCTTTTTCCCCCTTAGCCTATAGGATCTTTGGGTCTTTTTGAGATGAGATAAATGCTATTTCAAAGGAAATCATGGTAAATTGAGACAGTAAAGGAAACTAAACACACATAAAATATAAGGAGTATAAGAGTGAATACATAAAATGAAATGAGACAGTGGTTATGTAGGTTATGGCACATGCTATAAAATTTGAAAACACAGACACACACACACACACACACACACACACACACATGCATACACACAGAGTCATGGTGCCATATCTGAGGAGAATTAGTTTTAGCATCGGAATAAACAAAATCCTGCATGATCAAGTCTCTTATAAAAACAATGGGGAACTACTTGTATAACCTATGCACATCCTGAAATATATTTTAAATCATCTCTGGATTGCTTATAATAACTAATAATATTTAAATACTACGTAAATACTTATTGTATTAGACTGTTTAGGGGAAACTGACAAGAATAAAAGTTTATTTAATAAGTTGAAATTATAGATGCAAAAACCATACATACAGGGTGAGCACAGTGGCACACGCCTGTAATCCCAGTGACTTGGGAGACGGAGACAGTAGGATCCCAAGTTCAAAGACAGCTTCAGCAATTTAGCGAGGCATTAAACAACTCAAACCCTGTCTCTAATAAAATACAAAATAGGGCTATGGATGTGGCTCAGTGGTCGACTGCCCATGAGTTCAATTACTGGTACCACCCCAAAAATCATACATACAGAAGTTGAATGCATATATTATCAAGTGCTAACAAAAATCAAATAAAATATGATACAATCTAATTTTGCAAAAATATCTATATATACATAGAAATATGTTTATGAGAACATGATCATATTATTAATTCATGATTATTTAAAGAATTTAACAAACTAAAACGTTTATTCTCAGCAAAAGAAATAATTTGTGAGGTGAATAAAGAGCCTACAGCTTGGGTAGAACATCAATCTCTAGGGTATATAAAGAACTCAAAAGCGAAGCACCAAAAAAAAAATAACCTAATCAATAAATGGGGCAAGAACCTTAACAGACACTTCTCAGAAGAGGATATACAATCAATCAACAAATATATGAGAAATGCAAATCAAAACTACTCTAAGATATAATCTCACTCCAGTCAGAATGGCAGCTATTATGAAGACAACAATAAGAGTTGGCAAGGATGTAGGGAAAAAAGTACACTCATACATTGCTTGTGGGACTGTAAATTGGTGCAGCCAATATGGAAAGCAGTATGGAGATTCCTTGGAAATCTGGGAATGGAACCATCATTTGACCCAGCTATTCCTCTCCTCGGTTTATACCCAAAAGACTTAAAAACAGCATGCTACAGGGACACAGCCACATCAATGTTTATAGCAGCACAATTCACAATAAACTGTGAAGCTAATCTAGATGCCCTTCAGTAGATGAATGGATTTAAAAATGTGGCATATATACACAATGGAATTTTACTCAGCATTAAAAGAGAATAAAATCATGGCCATTTGCAAAGTAAATGGATGGTGTTGGAGAAGATAATGCTAAGTGAAGTTAGCCAATTCCAAAAAAACAAATGCCAAATGTTTTCTCTGATATAAGGAAGCTGACTCATAGTGGGGTAGGAACGGGGAGCATGGGAGGAACAGATGAACTCTAGATAGAGCAGAGGGTGGAAGGGTAAGGGAGGGGGCAGGGGGTTAGCATGGGTGGTGGAATGTGATGAACATCATTATCCAAAGTACATGTATGAAGACACAAATTGGTGTCAACATACTTTATATACAAACAGAGTTATGAGAAATTGTGTTATATATGTGTAATAAGAATTGTAATGCATTCTGTTGTCATTTATTTTTTTAAAAATCAACTAAAATTTTTAAAAAAAGAATTCAGGATAGTGAATGGACATAGCATTCGTTTTGTTCCTTGTCACAAATTCATATCATTTTGCAAGAAAATGTTATATTTATAACAGGAAAACTGCTTAAAATACAAAGACATATATAAAAATGATTACATAGCTACCTGTATGTCATCTATGATAAGAAATACAAGGACATGCTTGGACAACCCTAGCCCAGGGCGGTTCCCTTTCCCAGAGGCCCTGTACCTTTCAGGGCGGAACTCCTCAGGCTCTGGCCAGTACTGTGGGTCTCGATGAAGAACATAGTTTGGCATCATCACCACTGTTCCCTTCCTAATGGGCACTCCATTGATTTCAACATCTTTCTTACAGACCCTCTCAAGTCTGCCAGCAATTGGGAACAACCTGAGAGTTTCATTCACCACCATGTCCAGGTACTCCATCTGTAACACGGTATCATAGGTAGCAGGTGCCTGAAGAGAAAAAAAGAGATTTTTTGAAATTCATGTTTAGAACTAACTTTAAACACAATCTGCGTAGTTTTATTAAAGTGTTAGGAGGTCTCAAGAATAACAGAATGGTGAAGGAGAGTAGTACTTACAATTGCCTAAGCATTATAATAACAATCATGTCCATTTGACAACCATGTCCATGGCCCATTGAGAAGTACAGAGTAGTTATGTACATAAGAGACCTTTGGGACAATCCCAAATTCAGTGTGTAATATCCTCAGCATCATCATGTACTACTTTTTCTCATGTGAGGAAAAGTAACTAATAGAATATGACAATTACACTCAGGTAAAATATGTGAAAGTCACTGTAACCTTTCACTACAAAAATCATGTCTATTTCAAGGAAATAGAACATAGAAAAGAGGAAATAACCCATTATACATCCGGTTTTTTCTTGAATAATCCTGCTTTGAATATATATATACACACACACACTATATCATGTAAAAAATGTTGGGAAAAATGGTAACTTCTACCCTAATACCACCAAAAGAAGGCTAAGATTGGATGGCACCATGTCACACAGTTTCAGTTCCAGAAAACGTTCTAAGGAGAACAGGAAGCCACTCTCAGCCCGACCCTCTGTTGCTGGACCCGTCTTCGGGTTGTTCTTCAGGGCTTCATTGTGATCTCTGAAGAAGCTTTGTGCCCACTTCACTCCAAACCAGCCATGCCAGCCCCAGAGACCAGGTGTCTTGATATCTGATAGACTCCCTGTTTAGGCAGAGGTGTGAGGACAGCAGGCACAACATGTGGCTAATGCCTGGTGTGACATTGGAGAGGACACAAGGTAGAAGTAAAGTGTTTGGCTCAGGAGCCAGAAAACCTGACTCATCCCTTGGCAGCTTCTCTCTAATACATGACTAGAGTGTGAAGATGTGTGAAGCAGAGCAGAGTTGGCCTGCCCACCAAGCCCAGGCTCACTCAGCAGACAGCCAGGAAGGAGCTCATGCCACAGCTCAGCAGAGCCAATGATCTGGACACTTGAGTGACACATGCTTACACTTCCTAGGTATCATCATGGTAACTGGTAATGGGTACAACTGAAATTTCACTCTTAAAAATTCCTTGTAGTTTTGGAAATAGCATTTTCTCCAAAATACTGTTTTCTCCTTCATTTGTCTCTTCAGATCTTTTCCAAACAGAGCTGGTGAAAAGAATCAGTGACTATATTTTGGACAAAGCCTCCTAGGAAGTGAAAAGGAGGGAGTCTTGCTGAGGCTCCGCCTCTCTCCTCCCTCTCCAGGTACCATCTTCTCACCTTATTGGGCAAAGCCGCATCAATCTCCTGCTGCAGTTTGGTCTGGGCATCAGGATGGGTGGCCAGTTCATACAAAATGAAGGAAAGAGCACTGCTAGTGGTCTCATAGCCAGCAAAAATGAAGATAATTGATTGGGCCACAAGCTCCAGGTCAGACAGGGCTAATGGAAGAGGAAACACAATTCAGGTAAATCCAGCAAATCACAACATCAGGGTTTGGATTAATAGAAATCACATTAAAACCCACAATCACCAGGCAGGACCATGGAAAAGCAGTTCAGGGTCATTCTCAGAGTGGTTTTCCCTCTCGTGTTTATCTGATAGAGGAGACAATGGAAAACTTTTTTTAATCCAGTTTTCCTGAGGTCTGTACCACACTTGGACTTGGCTTCTAGCTGTGCCATTCTCAGCACCACCAAAGATAGGTAATTTCAAGAGACACCATTTCTATCTAAGATACACAGTATGATCAATATGTCCCTTAAATTTTGTGTAAGTAAAAAAGGGGATGATATTCTCATCCAGGAAAATTTTAAATTATTCTAGGTAACATATAGCTTGAAACACTGATTTGATTGTTTATAATACTAAGGTTTCAGTGTGTGGTCAACTGAAGAATCTTTCATCTAAGCATGTTGGAGGAAATGTAAGGAAATATTGGGCAGCAAAGAGACTGTTGCTACTCAAAGCCTGGTCCATGGACAAGCAGCATCAACAGCATTTGGGAAATTATTAGAAACACAGAATCTCAAACCCACCCTACAACTACCAAGTCAAAATGTGAACTTCCATGAAATGTGATGATTCTTGTGCATATCTTCCCTTGAGAAGTAGGGCTCATGCCAGTGAGAGGCATCAGGTAATAGAAGACCTGGGGCACCTGTCTTCAAAATGGATGATCTCAGAATACACAGAAACTACACAGTAACACACAATGTTATAAGAGTAGTCACTGACACTGATATAATGAATGTCATTAAAGTAGCAAAAGAAAACTGTCAATAGAGAAACAGTAAACATGACACGTGGGGAAAAAGTTGGGTGTATTTTAGTAAAACACAACACTATTCAGACACGAGTGAATGTCACCTTCCCTAGAACATGCCCTCTCTCTGCTCTACTTCATGCACACCAAACAGCTCTTCTCATAGAAGCTGACCTCCGTCTTGATTTTTCTCTTGACAGAAGCTAAGCACAATCATGAAATTAACTCATGTATCTTGGAATGCATCAGGACTTTTAGATACCTGGGGCCCTGAAATAAACATGGTCCCTATGCCAAACATGCAATTTGGGATAAAAAAATAATACACAAAACAAGTGTTTGAAAGGTCTACAGAGTTCAGATTTACTGATGTTTTTTCCTATGATGTTTTTCTATGATGATGCCTTGGGAACATCTAATTATGAAATCTTTTATCCCAATGAGTTTGAACCCCA